TTCCTATCCTATCCCGACTGCACCATCAAGTGGGCCATGCCGCACCAAGCCGAAGCCTGTTACGCGCGGAACCCAGGAAGAAACGCAGCCAATCCTCCCGCCCAACCGACCGAGGGGCGCTGCCGCATGACGCACGACGCGTGTTACCGAACCGATCGCGAGCATGCAGGAAAGATAGGTGTTATAAATTATAGAGCTGAATACAACTCAAAGAGCTAAACATGCAAAGATAGCTAAGAAATAGTACTTAATACGGGAAAAGTATGTTAGTATTAGTGATTTAAGAAGAGGAAGGGAATTAGTAGTTGATATTATGTGGTAGAGGGAATTGAAGTCCGAGCAAAGTACCCTAAATGGTTCGTGCAAGGAATAATTCGATCTACAAAGCGGAAGGAACAAAGGAATGAAGTTTCTAGTAGATCTAATAGGAATAGTAAAGTTTATGCGGCTCAACAAGTCAGGGCTATCTACGTCACCCTTGATCAGGTTGTGCATAAAAATCACCACAAGCATTTTTCTACGACTAACTGAGGTTGGAAGGTTTATTAAAAGCAATCTACGAGGATAAGATGGCAGTCTCACACCTGCATCCCAGTTAAGGCCACGCAGAGCAAAAATTAAAATGTTTTTCTGGACTGATTCTATACGGTCCTGGTGTACTTCGTACTGGGGGCACCATACACAAGAGCCGTACTCTAAAATCGGACGAACAAGCGAGATGTAGAGAGTCTTCGTTATATAGGGGTCGTCAAATTCCTTTGACCATCTTTGACCTTATAAACCCAAGCACACCCATGGCTTTATTTACCATGGTAGAAATGTGTTCAGAAAACTTTAACTTTGGGTCTAATTTAACACCAAGATCATCAACCAAGGTAATTCTCTCAAGAGAACCACCGCAGGGGCTATAAGGAGCCAAAAGGGGCTGGAGCGATGAAATGTCATTACTTTGCATTTCGAGGCATTTATGTGTAACATATTTGCAAACCACCATGACTGAAAGTTACTGAGATCGATTTGCAAGCGAGAGTGAAATGTAATGTCCTTATACTGGACGCAGAGTTTAACATCATCCGCATTCATGAGTACTCGAAGTTTGTTAATACTGAAGGCAGATCATTAATAAAGAGTGTGAATAGTAGGGGGCCTAGATGGCTGCCCTGTGGTACTCCATAAGTAACCTTAACTGGTGAAGAGAAGGAGTTTTGGAAGAGGACTCTTTGAGACCTAGAACGAAGGTAGCTAGAAATCCATCTCAAAAGATTAGGCGGAAACCCTAAAAGGTCAAGTTTTTGTGCTAGAAGGGAATGGTTTACAGAATCAAATGCTTTACTGAAATCAGTGTAAATGACATCCGTCTGCGAGTTACCTTGGAAGCCTTTAATGATAAAAGAGGTAAACTCTAATAAATTTTTGGTTGTTGACCGTCGCCTAATAAATCCGTGCTAAGACGGAGATATAAGTGATTTGCAGAGATGTTGCAAATGCGGAGTTACAATTTTTTCAAACATTTTAGGAATAGCGGATAACTTAGATATACCTCTATAATTATTTGCATCCTTTCTTATGGAGCCGAATAATAAAAGATTCCTTCCAGATGGGGGGGAAGCATGACGAGTTAATGGATAGGGTGAATAGTAATCCACATAGAGCGTCGGCACAGTACCTGAGTACACAGCTTGGAACTCCGTCAGGACCTGGTGAAAACACCGGCTTAACTAGTCGAAGATCATGAAGCAGTGAGATTTCATTTAACAAGGGGCTGAAAATGCCATTCGACCTTGGTAAACTGTATGGATACGGCTGACCAGAGTAGCTTTCATGAGAATAGGTTGTTTGGAAAAATTTGGCAAAAAGATCGGCAATTGCCTGATCATTGTTTGCTGACATATTGAGAAAAGACACCGAGGATGGATGTGCGGACGTTCTACGCTTACTATTTACGAAGCTGTAAAAGTGTTTAGGGTCATGTGAAAATCGTATCCTGCATCGAGATAGGTAATTTTTATAGCATTGAGCGTTAAAAACGGAGAAATTTCACCGAGCTAATACATAGCGAGAGAGTGCCTTTCATAACGTCAGTGCACAAGTACAGAGCAAAACAATCAAAATCCATAATGGGGCTATTAAGCTTCGTAAACTCGGCTTTACGAAAACGGCCGACACGTTCAGATAGCCTACCCATTCGATCCAATACAGTAGGCAAGATATCGACCAACACTTCGAATGTAGGATGGTGGGAGTCTTCAGGTATAGGTTATTATGGTTGACTTGAGACAGGTATAGGTCTAACTAGCCGTCGATAAAGTCGTGTCAAGGCGTGACATGGGAACTAGTGTATTCGACTCGTCTTCCGAAAACCAAACAATACCTGGCAAATTGAAATCACCAAGAACTATCATATGGTCTTTATCTGACAGCGAGGAAGAAACTGTTTTTAAAGCGGACAGGTGATGCTCGTATATTAAGATATCCGAGGAAGGTGGAATATACGAGCAAGTAATGAAAATGGAAAAGAATGGGAGAATCAGTTTTACGCACAGGAATTTCTAAAAATTGTGTACCGATTAGTTTCTGGACGGACACCTTGGCAGCCAGTCCACTAATCAATCGCAATGGCGTTAAAAAGCCAACGACTGCCACCCTTGCCACTTAGTTTTCATCGAGTTTCGTATGAGGTACGTCGAAATCTACGTAGCGTAGCTGAAAGAGAACGTGGAAAATTGAAAATAACATTACAGCTGCAGCTGGGGCACCATTTGCATGTTAAGTTCGAAAGCCGATAGCTGTTCCAGTTTTTAAACCCGTACTAAAAAAGAGTGAAGGGGTATATTGTATTTGTTGTAAAAGTGGATGTGTGCAACGCAGAGAAGGAAACGTTTCCGACCCCATAAAGTATATATATTCTTGATCAGCATCAATAGCCGAGTCGATAAAGCCATGTCTGTCTGTCCGTCTGTCTGTCTGTCCGTCTTGTTAAGCGCCTAGATCTCAGAGACTATAAGAGCTAGGGCAACCAAATTTGACTTCCACACTCATGTGATATCACACTGCTACAAGTGTATTTCAAAATTTCGCGGTTGCAGCACACGTAGTCAGACGATCAATCTCCAAGAGCAGCAGCTGCGGGAAATATGAGAAACTGGTTTCCATTGATACCTTTGCGCATCTCACCTACATCTTCCCAGCTCCTTCACGGGCAAAGATAATACAACACAACGCGCCTATGTTGTCATCGTTTGGAGATGACTCCACCAGGACTCCTAAGAAGCTATTTTCCTTCGCGGAAAACACCTCGATCCTGGAAGACTTTTAACCGATGTAAACATACTCTTGACGGTTACTAGAGTGCCTTCTGGGTCAGCCTAACCTATCTGTAGTGTTTGTCTATCTATAGTTTTGCGTGCACCCGTGAACTAATGGCTCACCACTTAATCTCCAATAACTTTTAAATTAGAAAAAAAAGTTACAAAAGTTAATTACTCACTCAGATCCTTTCATTCTTTTGCTATGCATCGAGCCTTCCCGTTAAATTTGAGCATTCTGTGAGTGCGCAACTATATACATATGTATCTATTTAGGTACTATAGGTACTATAGGTACATATTGCACATATACGTAGGCTCAAATTTTAGCAACTAAATGTGCAGAGAAATTTGTTCGATTTCGGCGAAAAGCATTAAAACTAGAAATATGTATGTACATACGAAACTCGTATCATGTGGGTGCCTTCTTCAGTTCAGTTTTTGCTCCAGTTGTTGATGAATGTTTTTTTTTAATTTTCCTGGCAGAAATTGCCAGCCAAAAGTCATTCATTTCCTCGCAATTTGCATTTCCAAGGCGAAACTTTTATATAGCAGTGAAGTGCAGTGTAGTCGGGAATCGTGACGGGGGACGGGACGGGATGGGACTGGTGACTGGGACTCAGCTCCGTGTTGGATCGCCAGGACAATCAAGTGGCATGATTGCTAAGCAGCATAATGCCGTTTATTACCACAAGAAGCCCGAGAAAATTTGGTATCGCCATAGCGTCGCGCAGGCCAGGCAGGCGAATTCGCATTCATGGCCCCTGCACAATATGCTGAACGCCAAGCTACTAGCAAAGAGATGGGAGGAGGAGCAGTGCCTGGAGCTGGAGGCGGAGCTGTAGCTGCAGCCATTGCAATCATAATTTTATTTTATTTTTATTTTTACTCCGCGCCCGTTTAGCGCCCGCACTTAGCTGTACTATCCTGGCGCTTTGTTTGCGCTTTCATCCTTGGGCTCCGCTCCTCCGGCTTTTTGTTAATTTCGCGCGACCACAATAAAAAGCCAGTGGCGTGGGGATAGCACTGGCGACGGAGGCAAGCGAAAATGAAAAAATAAAATATAAATTCTTTTTATGGCACGGAGCGAAGGTGCCTTAAGCTGGGACTGGATATCGCTGGGGATATTCATTCCGATCACCCGGTTGAGACTTGGCGTTAAGTGCCGAGTTTGCCTCATGGTGAATTAGAGTAGAGTCCGGTTCGGGCACCACCGCAAAAAGGAAACTTGCCGCCAAATGCATCAGTTGAGCTTGCAGACGAGGCGGATTTCCATTCGTTTGTGTAGAGCATTTTGCGGCTTCATTAGCGCCTCAGAGACGGGACTGTCGGTGGGGGACTGAAGCTTTGGGTTGGGCTTGGGTTTGGGTTTGATTAACACTAACCAAAGTCAGCCAGGGGCAAAGCGGGAGCACGGGCGGAGGCAGAACGCTAGGCCAGTGCAAAACTCTGTGGCGGAACAGCGAAGTACAATCAGGGCATATGGATTTTAATTAATTTCCATTCCATGCTGCAGAATTTTTAATTAAAAAACTTGAGCCATCGTGGCCATCGCACCCGTTTAGTCGTGCGTTTAAGATGCATTTGGTGGATCTTGGGGGTAAAGGGTGAGGTGGAGTCCCAGCATTATGGGGTAGGACTAAGCCACATTTGATCTGAGGCTATCCTCTAACTGTTGCATTCTTTATCTTTAAGTTTTGGACTGCCAAGCTAGTGATTGGGGCGCCTGGAGCGAGTGCGACAAGAGCTGCGGCAACGGGCTGATGACGCGCAGCCGCCAGATACTGCAGGTGGCTCAGAACGGCGGCAAGCATTGCCCGACGCTATTCCAGACGCGTGGCTGCCAGGGCTTCCGATGTCATGGACACCGCGAGAAGAAGATTTTGCGTGGTAAGTAAATACCTCACTCCTATTCTATCGACAAGTAAACACCTTAATCCTATTCGATCGACATTCACGTGATAAGATATGCATAGCTGGAGTTTAAATAGTTTTAAAGTCTGTGGCTTAGAATTGCAGATCATTGCGTATATTTTCATGCCAAAACTGTATTTAAATGAAAGATCTTCAATGTTCTCGTCTGCACATGTATGGAATGCCCATGTACATATATACATAAGCTAAAGCAATTCATTTAGCAGTGAAATTGGCATTGTGGCTACATCACTTATGCACATATTGTGCATGTACATTGTACATGCATATGTCCTACATGCTACATACATATACTTACATACATACATATGCCCGCCCTTTCGATGCGATTTTTGATTTATTACTATGATTTATGTTAACAGAATATTAACTCTTTACTATATATGGAACTAAATAATAATAAATTAATTTAAATAAGAAAGGGATATTCTAAGAAATTTAAAAAAAGGTGCAAAGTTCCACGGGAAAGTAAAACTTTAAATTACTATTATACCCGGTACTCGGTAAGCGTAGGGATGTATGAATTGTGGTAAAAGTGGATGTGCGTGACGCACAGAAGGAATCGTTTCCGACCCCATTAAGTATATATATTCTTGATCAGCATCAATAGCTGAGTAGATATAGCCATGTCTGTCTGTCTGACGCCTAGTTCTCAGAGACTATAAGAGTTAGTAGAACCAAATTTTGTTTCCAGACTCCTGTCACATCACACACACCTTCTGGCGGGGGAGATCGAGCAAGAACTGTGTGTTAGTGTGAGAAGAGAGAGAGAGAGAGAGAGAGAGTGTAGATGTAGATGTACATGTAGATGACAGATGTAGCGTAAAAAATGGAAACAGATTACATATTCTTGAATCTGACTGACTGAGCACCAGGTATGAAGGTAGAGGCGCGGCTCACAGCTTCCCCCTCATTGATACTCGCTGCTTCATGATTTAATTTATTTGCATACTATATCGTAACGCTGCAAGTATGAACTTATTTTGATTGATTACACTACCCGACACGATTTTATTCAAGGAACCAAACCGACTGTTTCTGATAGATTTGGGGCTTTAAATTTGTATACCCGTACTCAAAGCGCTAAGGAGTATATTGTATTTGTGGTAAAAGTGGATGTGTGCAGCGCATTTTCAAGAATTAAAACTTAAACGACTCCTTATTAATGCTCCTATACACAAAAAGTACAAAGACAGAACATGTTGTTTTCTTTTCCTGGGTTTTTATAGTCACAAATTTTGAAACAAAAACCCCACAGCATATCAATTTTGCATTTCAAAGCTTAATCATTCCCAAACGATAAGCTGAAGCTTTAAAGTGTTCTGTTCCAATTTATAGCTGCAATTATTATTTTTAGAACGACGTACAACATTACAACTATATGTTAGATAGATGAGTTATGTGAAAAATAGCGCTACGTCTAAAAAAAACATGTAAGTTCTTCTAAATTCTTAAGATAGGCCATAGAAACAAAAAATTATCATTAATCATTATAAAGCCCCAATTTTATCAACAAAAGTTGGTTTGGTTCGGAGCGGAGCGGAAGAATGCTTTTGAGTAGTGTTATATACGAGAACTCAAGAAGGTGAGTTGATGTTGATCGATATCTTAAAAAACCAAACTGCAAAATACTTGTTGCAATCGACAGGTAACTAGGCGTAAGGATGTCGATTTTGGATCTTGAGCTTTTTTTGTGAAGAGGAACAAGGTTGTATTCGTTTCAATTCATTCGAATAAAAAAAACGCCCCAAAGATAGATTGAAGAGTCAGGGAAAGAAGATTGGCATAGCCCGCAGAGAAGGTGTTTTCAATCGATGCCAAACCTTCAAAAGATTCTTCAACGAATGGTAGAAAAACGTTGATAGCATGAAGTAGATGGTAGAGTAAGGAGTGGATGAGTTTTAGGTGAGATACGAGTACGGCGTACCTTAAGCTGACTTTAAGATTCTGTTTCATTCAGTAAATGATGACGGTAAGAAATTGAGAACGAACCGAAAAATATTAGGCGAAAACATATATAGTTTTCTGGTACTTTATATAGAGTCGGGATTTTTTATTTTTTAGGTAGGACAAATACTTGGAGAACCAGGGAGGCTAGGACGATACGAGTACAGTGATAAAACGAATTGACTGTTTCGTCGATTTTCGGTAATGACTTGAGAACGGACCAACCAACATGCGAGAGTTGTAGGTTTAGATCGTCGAAAAGGGGTCTTGCAAAAACAGTTCATTCGGGCAGATTCGACAAACATTCACACATAGTAAAGTTGGGTGGTATGGATCTTTAGGAAGAGATATCGCATTACCTCTGGCAACCATTTGCTGACAAAGTGAGGTCTAGAAGTCTGTCCCACCATTTTTAACGGATTTCATTTGGACAAGGGAGACATAAAATATCCCATCGAATAAATAATTTTGGCTCAGGCAAAGCCTCCTTTGCGGCTTCCGGCATGAGGTAGAAATTTCCAAAAAGAAATGTAAAATTCAAGTCCGCATCTTTAAAATTATATCTTATGATATAAAAAAACACCATTGTGCAGTCAGAATCACTTGAACAATAATTAAGTTTGGCAAACGCGGGAGCTCAGAGACAAACAACGAATGCTAAGGAGCAAGAATGGCCGAAAAAACCATACATTTTGCATAACCGGCCGACCTCGTTCCCCGTTGCCTGCACCGCGATAATTGCGAAGTAAATAATTCAGAAATATTAACGGTTTAAGTTCCGTGGAATTTGGTAGAATATTTTCACATCATTTGGGGCGTTTCGGTTTGCAACATTCCCAACACGTGCGCACACCTTTAGTACCGCCCCTCGGCTCCGCGTCGGCCTCAGCCGCAATAATGCGCTGTGCTCATTAACGTTATAAAAATAATTGCTTCCGCTCACACCCTCACACACGGGGCTGTCATGTGCTAAATTCCAATTAACTTGCATGCGTGGGGCACTCGTACATACGAGCATGTGTGCCAGTGTGTAAACGTCATCTCGCCTGCTTGGCCAAGTTGGTAATTGTCCAAGATGAACTGCCTGAGCGGCTCCAGTCAATCGCGACACCCTGCCACCGGGTGAATATATGTACTTGTATGCACATATGTACATATGTCATAGATTTGTGGCTCACGTAGTTTTCGAGCTGGAAATTTCATTTCATCCACATTTGTATGAGAAAATTTAACATGTTTCTTAAGTCCAGTTCAATAGTTCGAGTCAGCTTTGGTATCAGCTACTTAATGCTGCTAGTTCAATTTTTCTCCCGGCACTAAGTGACCAAACTTCCGGTATTCAACTTGAGTTTTTCAAGTGAATAAATATACCCGGGGCTGAGCCCGCGCGGGAGAGGTAAGACCTGGATGGCTGGGCGATGGGGTATGACAACAGTCTTGCATTTGATTATGCAAATGGATGTGTGAGTGAGTGCGGGCGAGAGTCTCAAACGCTGTCCTCGCGGAGCACTTGGTTCTTAAAATTTGCATAGGTTGCGAGTGTTTTGGCGCCCAAAATTATGCAACACATATGGGCCACGAGCTGCAGACACACTTCCTGGCCAAAAAACCTTTCTTCACTTCGGAGACATGGGGTGAGTTTTTTTTTTTAAATATCCTTGGCATCATTCGTCCCAGGTGTAAATATTTCTGAACAAGTGATTGAATTTTGGTGTTTACATGTTGGGATTACATTGGACTGAATGCCAAGAACAAATGTGGTCAAAGTCGCAAAAAACAAAACCACGTAAAAAGTGTTTTTTTAGATTTTGATTATATATTATTATATATAGTTTTATATATATTTTATACCGCTCCCAATGTATCATAAAACTCAGTTTGATAGTTTCGAAAATTTCCACTTCGGTCGTTGCATCGGGGTTTTTTTTTATCTATATAAATCTAACAGGCTAGTAAATTTACCGGAACATTGGCGGCATAAGGCCTTCATTCCCAATTGATGTTAAGTATTAATTCAAAATTTTAGCAGAAAATATACTATACTATATATTGCTAAATTTGCCTTAATTCAAAATTTTTTGCAAAAATAAAAGAATGGTGTTTATGTTTTCAGGAGTTGGGTTTGCTAAGGTTTGTAACGGATTAATGGTGGTAAATATTGAACGTCTGTGGGTGTTTAGGGACGGACAGCTATTGAGAATGTGTTCAATGGATGTTGGGACATTTGTGTTGCAGAGGTTGTAGTTATTTGGTGTTTTGTCTATGTAATGGTGATGAGTATGATTTGTGTGACCCAGTCTAAGTCGTGTTATTTTTTTTTATTTGGTCAAGCCGAGATAGTTTTGAGTTTTAGATAAATGGTAGCTATTGAGTTTTGGGTTAATGGATTGGTACCAGTTTGCATCGGGGTTAGTTAAAGTGAATAAAAGCATGACACGTGCCAAAAAGGTTTGTAATATTCCAAACAAATTATTTTTTACTTGCTCATCAACACTTTTAATAGTAGAATTAAATTATTTAAAGGTATCTTAATGAAATATTTGACAGAAACAATTTTGACTGCCTTTGCAATGAAAAACAATTTAACCGCAATTTTTAGTGTAACGTAACAGTCCCAGATTATTAAAAGTTTCTTTATGAAAAATATATTGCATTAACAAAACAAAAGACTTACTATTCTTTGAGAATTGTTAGCCTTCTTTTGAAAAAAAACATTAAATCAAACATTATATTAATTTCTGACTTTGATCTGAGACGAATTCTATTTGTAACGTGGCAGTCTTTTTCATCAATATTAAAATATTTTGATAATATATTGATTCTTTAAGCTCAAACATACTTCTGATGTATCAATAAAAATGAACAAGGTTCAAAAGAATAAAAATTCAAAATAAAAATCTACTGGAACTATTTTTCGACTTCCCTCGGGAAAGTTTGTATCGGCGCAACTACCAAAATTATTGTGAGAAAGCATATTTTGTCTCTTGAATGAATCGTCAATGTGCTTC